GGCTGGCAGGGACTTCAGCCGGGACAGCTAGAAACACTAGATCCTTCCTGTATATGTGTAGATATGTGAACAGTGAACCGGCCGTGGCTGACTTGTAGAGAAATTTTAATAAATCTGGTTTCGTAAAAAAGGTGTGGTGGATTTCCTGCTAGTGCCATCTGCCTGTGCCTTTTGCAGTCCCGGGAATGCCAAGCTCTCCCATTTCAGGGCTCAGAGCTGCTGGAGGGAGACGAGACAGATAATGACCAYTGAGGATGACCTTTGATAGGCTGGACCCTTCATTTTTCACCCCAGTGGCTAGGTTCACTCAGGTGGCTGGCGCTCTGCGGTGACCCGGTGGGTGGGTGCTTGGAGAAGTGTTTCAGGGAGAATACTTGAGGGMGCCTTGGTTTCTAAGATTCCCTTGGGCTTTTTTGGACCAGGGGCCTCAGAGAATTTGACACAGGCTAACGTACACTCCAGAACCATATTACATGTCCCCAACCAAATTCTGTTGGGGWCATGTAATATGGTTCTGGAGTGTACGTAACCTGTGTCAAATTCTTTAAGGAATTTTTTGTGGAAGTTCACTTAAAGGCCAGAAGACCTCAGGGGGGCCTCYTGCTGAGAACCACCCCTACTTTAGAACTAAATAAGATGGGTAATAGAGAGATTTCATTTTTCCCTTTTCCTATAAATGTAAAAGGGAAATGAAAACAAGGAAAATTTGTCTAAGAGACATCACAAAAGTTGGGAAAGAGTTTTTTTTTTTTTTTTAATTAGGTTTATAGCTTCATTTCACTTATATTTCAGAATGTCCTCTAAACAAAGTAAATTAACATCCCGAACGATTCTGAAAAACACTTTATAGACTGTAATGGCTGGGCTATATATAGCTCAGTGTTGAGCACTTGCCTAGCATGCACRAGGCCCTGGGTTCTGTCCCCAGCATGGCAAAAACAAACAAAAAATACATTGTAAAGTGTAGCACCTCTTAAGAAGAGTGTGTGTAGAAGGGTGTTGTTCAGTGAATTTTCACAACTGAACACACCTGTGTAACCAGCACTCGGCTGGAGGCCCCTCCTGCCCCTCTCTGTCCCTGCTGGCACCTGCTGCAAGGGCGACCACCATGGGACAGGATCTCACTCTCAGGGTTAGTACTCATCAGGACCAACTCCCCAGCTCTGGACTTGTGTGCCCAGCCATGCAGAGGCCTCAAGTGACACAACTGCCCTTTGCCAGGACGCGGACCGAGATCACCAAAGATAGCAGACCTGTGACACTGAAGTTAATACAAATTAGGCCACGTGACCCGGGGAGCTTACATTGGAAAAACCCATCAGAAGATGCGTGGGAAAGGGCCACACGCCTGGGTACCTAAGAAACTCGGAAGCTGGTGGCTAGTCTAGGGCCTGCTCAAGACCAAAAACCCAAAGTTCCCTGAGCGAGCTCAGAACACAYATCGCAGCCTCCCTGCTCCAGTGAACCCAGACAGGCTCAGCGTAACTCCCTGGGCACGCAATGCGAATACTTTGGACTTCCCCGGAGCTTTTAATCTAAGGATTTCAAAACACTTTGCAAGCAATTAAGGTTACAACACCCCTTTGTACTGTTGTTACATGCACCAAGGGGAGAGAAATATGGGTCGGGATTGGCTGGATTGACACACAGTGCCACAAATCCATAAATTTAATCTCTTCTAAGGGTGGAACAAATCTGGGGCAATCGCAAGCAGTTGGATTATGGAAGGTTGGAGTGAGCGTGCTGATCATTTCTCAGAAGTCTTGCRTTTTGAGTAAATCCTTTAAGCAACATCTCCATATCATACTTTCTAGAAGTTTCAGTCTTTCCTATCAATTCACATCATATTTTCCGGAACTTTCTCCTTCTCTCCACCTTTGTATGCACAGCCATTGAGTGAAAYAGGAAAGTCAAATACTCTCTTTACTTTATAGTTGGAAAAACGAAGGCTCAAATGTCTTTCAGTAGTCCCTCAGGAGCGAGCAGCTCCAAGCCAGCAMAGGAACTTGGGTCCTGGGAGCCCCAGGTTCTCACAGAGCGCTGAGATAGTCTTCTGGTAGGAATGGCAATGAAAGACAGTGTTAAGACAAATGCAAATACTGATTATTAGCTCCATTCATGTCTTCAAATAACTCAGTACAGCCTAGWGTGGCAGTACTGCCTCTGTAATCCCACCCACTTGGGAGGCTGAGGTAGGAGGATCGAAACTGTGAGGCCACCTGGGCAATTTAGTGAGAACTAATCTTTCTTTTTTTTTTTTT